AGTGGGGGACTATATCTCTACTTTGTAGAATAACTGAATGTTGTATTTTAAATCAGCGAAACACATTCCAGGTCATCAAAACAAAAAGTGTGCAAAATCTTACAGGTCAGTTCTCTTTAGAAGACAGCCGCAGCCTGAGTGGAAAAACCTGACTTCCGCCGGCATGCTCCAGAGTAGGACACTTGTATTGATCTCTCTGCAGAGGTCTGACATGCTCCACGCTGACTCGGAGATAAAGCTCTCCAATCAACTGAGTTCTAGTAGTGACTCAAATGGGGGGGGGGGTCAGACCTCTGCAGAGAGACCACTGCTTCTGTCCAAAGAGCAATGAGCAAGTTATTTAAAAAACATTACTGTTTCCTATACATGTTCAATAACAGTCCAAAGATGTCCTTGCGAAGGAAATTTTATGTTGCCCACATCAACATTTGATTACCATGTTTTCTGCCCGAGTATGCAATAAAAAAATAATTGGTTTCGACTGGCCAATGAGAATTTTTACCTTCTTTTTTTTTTTTAAACAATTTTCATTCATAGATTGGTACATGGGTATAGAGATGTAGTTTTTATGTGCCTCTTTATGTAGTTCCACATTTCACATTGCTGAGGTTTGCCCACTTCTGCAGCAGAGGCAGGGTTTCTGTTTCTTTGGCCACTTAGTGTATACATGTATATTGTGTCCATTCTTTTTTTTTTCACCTCCCTGAGAAGAATCCGTTGCACAATTTTCTCAGCCAAGTGTACTGTCTTCATTCTGCAATTTTCTGAGGGAGTGCTTACGGATTTCCTGAGTTTCCTTTTGTCCCGGCAATGCTCTTTTCCTAATAAACAAGATATTGAAACTCTGCAGATCGTGCTGTTTGTGTAGCCTGTTGTTGTCTTCCTATTTCTGCTCGTTTTCTGAGTAATCGTCTGATTCAGCACAAATGGCAGCTCTGGCTCATTAATATAGTGTTTCCTGCATGTTTGTCTGTGCCAGGATTTCTCAGTCTGTGCCACATGCATCCCAGGGGTAGGGCTAATCAGAGGCTACACCAGACTTTTCATAGAACTCCACAGTGACGTTTGCGTAAAAATGGCCTTTTGTGTTATAATGAAAAAATGACAGTTCTTTCCTGGAGAAGAAGGAAAATTGTCTTCATTTCTCTAACTTTCTCTTCCTTTTCCTCAGCTGGGTGTTGGAGCTGTGGACCACCTACATTGCTGACCATTGAAGGGCCCCGATCTGTTGTTGAGGTTCCCACTTTGAGTTGTCACATTTTGCATGCTGGGTAGCCAAATGACGCATGCCTGGAATAGCATTCCTCCTATAGGAGTGCTCTCTATCCACACAGGAGACAGTCTACTGCTGGTAACGATGTTGTGCCTCCCGCTAGGGGGTAGTTTGAGGTTATTAGTGTTTTTGACACGACAGGTTCACTTTAAATTGTACGTCCAGGCTAGTGATGAGCAAACAGGCTTGGGTTTGGTTAGCTTGGATATACCCTGAACCCAGCCTAGACATCCGGGTATGGTAAACGTTCGAGTGAACCGAACCCAGGGCTGCCTGTGTCCAATATCCAATAATGCTGTACCAGTCGCACAGCTTCATTGCTTGCTAGGACACTAGTAGCTGGATCGCACAGCGTTCTTGGTTGTAAGACACTGGCAGCCCCATGGTGTCATGGGTTGTTATGGTGTGCCTGCCTGTGTACTAGCAACCAGTGAGGCTGTGCAGGGTGCACTGGCTCACAGCATCATTGATTCTTATGGTGCACCTTCCTATGTCCGATCAACTAGTGGCCCTGTTTTGGTCGGACAGCATCATTGGTTGCTAGGACGCTGGTGGCCTCACAGCATCATATGTTCTTATGGTGCACCTTCCTGCATCCTAGCAACCAGTGGCCCTGTGCGGGTCATACAGTGTCATTGGTTGCTAAGGTGGTGGCAACCCCACAGCGTCATTTGTTATGTTGAGATCACCTGCATTCTAGCAACAAATGATGCTCTGCAGGCCACCCCCTAGCATCTTTGCAAGAAATGACGCTGTGCATACACAGACGAACTGGCCAAATCATTTACCTGTTTGGTGAACTGGGTTTGGGTCGAAGCCTTGCCAGCGGGGAGAAAAAAAACCATGCAGTATATCTCTGCAATACATGCACAATCCCCCATCTTGTATCCCTTCTAAAGACCCTACAAGTACAACAAAAACCTCCAGAAATGCCCTCTGCTCCCGGGTCCTGTTGTGGGCTGACAACAGACACAGTGGTGTCAGCCCTGCCCAGTTTTCTCTTGACAAACTATTAAGACTCCCCACTCTCCCATCTCCACAACATAAAGGCCAATCATTCTCTGATAAAAAAAGTTGAAGGCTAATTACTTTTTGTACTTCACAAACAGAAATAAAAAAACACTTTTAATGGTATATTTAACGGATCAAAACTGATCAAATCAGAGCTGTTCATTGTTGGGGATTATATACCCTTCAATGGCTTAATTTCTGTAGTCGTCTTGGATTGTAGTCGTCTTGGATTGTAGTCGTCTTGGATTGTAGTCGTCTTGGATTGTAGTCGTCTCGGATTGTAGTCGTCTCGGATTGTAGTCGTCTCGGATTGTAGTCGTCTCGGATTGTAGTCGTCTCGGATTGTAGTCGTCTCGGATTGTAGTCGTCTCGGATTGTAGTCGTCTCGGATTGTAGTCGTCTCGGCTTGTAGTCGTCTCGGCTTGTCATCTGTGGTAATAATGGGTTTGGTTTCAGCTTTATATAAGCTCTGTAAGGTTGCACTCTCGTGGCCTCGGTGTATTCTGGAAACGTTCTGGTTAGTCCACACATTCTTCTGCGATTTGTATGTTGGAATTCAGCTCATGTTCTCGGTGTCATTTCAGCTGAAGAACATTTTGTATTACAAGCTTTCAAATGAAAGAATTCTGCTGTGAACAAAACCGCTCTTTGCAGCCCTTTCACATCGGCTTTCTGATCAGGTCTGTCTGTCAGTTTTTCAGGCGGACCTGATCGGAAGCCCAATGTTAGTCTATGGGCCGCTGGATCTTAACAGACGGGCGTCTGTTTATATTTGCAGCCAGGTCTGGAAAAACAAATGGGTCAGTGTTCTATTTTGCTGGACCTGATCATGCTGGATCAGGGGTAATCTGATGTAAACGGATACAAGTCGTTTTGCATCAGATTCCCCAATGGAGGAAAGATTTGGACGGACACGGATGTCACAAGGGTGACATCTACTCCGATCAGCAAAGGACCCGTACATGAATACCCTCCTGATTGGACCGTGTGAAAGAGGCCTTATTCTTTCTATGGCAGAGATTCTAAAGTTAAGAAGGCCCTGTCATCAACGTTAATAAAATTGGAAGTGTCTAATTGCTGTCTATGCTGGCCTAGCGCCTCCACCCCCACACCACATTTACATAACTTTTTGTGTGGCTGTCGGGGAAGAAGTAGAGGAATAGTCATCCTCAGAAGAGAAGAGGTTCTGAGGAAGGGGGCGTGGTCCTAGAAACGCGTAAACCCAGGCTGACATGCAGTCAGAAGGATCTCCTGCTCCAGGCTGCTGGGCTTAAAGCCATGTAGTTCTGATTCTTTTTTCCAATGCTGACAAGACTGACTTATATGAAGGCTCTTTATTTGATGACTTGTTTGCGAGTACATCCATTGTTCCATTGTCTTTTATCCTTTTTTATATAATAAAACTTCTACACAAGGGAGTCGCAATGTTTTTTTTATGTTCCTTGATTACCTACCTGCTGGAACATTTGTAATAAATGACTTTGGTTTTAGATTGTAAGCTCTCAAAATCAGGGATCTCCTATTCCTCCTTTATGGAATTGTACTGTACTGGTACTGTCCCACTTTTTTTTTTTATAAAGCATCGCAGGCGCTATATGAATTCTGTATAATAGTTCCATGTGATGTATCCTGGACCTCTAACAGTTCCAGGTGTCAGGGGCTGGTCTGCCTAATACCACATTATAATTTTGATCCTAACGTGAGGCCACACATCTTAGTAATGGGCCAGTAAGCAATTGTAGGTCAGCGTTTATTACCAGAAGTATCAAAGCTTTGTACATTAGACCAACCCAAGTCCTGTAGCACATTTATTCTTTTTAATTGTCTTTTTAGCTGGCTGGGAGGTGACACCATGGTGTTTCATAACTCAGTCAGATAAATTGGTGTCACTCTTCTGGCTGTGCTGTCTGGCATTTATCTGATTGTTTGGAGTTCAGCTTTAAAGCAGAACTCCAGCTAAACATGTTCTTAACCCTTGCAATAGGGCCACCCCCGCACTGCAACGGTTAAGTGCTCATTTTTGTCTAGGTGCTTAAAAAAAATTATACTCTCCCGATCCTCGGAGCCGGCTTGCTCTTAGATCGGTCCCTGGAGCCTCCTCTATCTGGATCGGAGACCAGCACCAGCCCTGGAACGACAGCTGAAAAATTAACCGTTTGATAAAGTTTTTTTTTTTTTAAATCATTTTGCATATATCTACTGCTTGCTAGTAGTAGATATATGCAAGACATGCTGAGGGTTTAATAACCCTTTAACCCTTGCAGTGGGGGGTAGCCCCACTGCAAGGGTTAAGAACACTTTTTTGCCCAGAGTTCTGCTTTAAAGACTGCTGATGGTACTATTGCAGGGGATTCCTGTAATTTAACTTCAGGTTGTGAACGGCCATTTAGAAAATCAGTGAGCCAATCACACAAGTAGGGAATTCAAAATCTGCGCCACATACATTTTTAATTCTGTGACTGTTATAATGTATATGTGTAAAATGTATGTATCTATTTTTACATGGAGTGGAGTCATTTATTTTATAATGATGTGGTTGGGGATGTAATGCAGTGCGCACCAACCAGATCCAGCCCCGGCACCTGTCCTTTGCTCTTCTGTAGTGTACTCTGTATATTGTGTATTATATTGTTGGCTCCGGTAGCCCTGACACTGCTGGAGGCTATGTTGGTTATAATTACAGTGCTTTGCTCAATTCTCTGCTTTGGTTCCACAGGAATACATCATACGAGTCCAGCGAGGGGTATCCATGGAAAACAGCTGGCAGGTAATTCATGTGCTGATTTCACCTTGTCAGCAGCATCTCCTGTATTATAAACACATCCATAGTCACAAGGTTATTATGGCTGGCAAATACACAGATCCATCATCTGCACTGTAATAATGACGTGCGTCACGCGGCTCAGCCTGTTCGAGCTGCCTCAGAGCTGCTCCTTCATTGCTGTGAAATTGCTAATCGGTGGAGATCAATAAGAATTGAACCTTGACGCATAACTCCTGTAATGAAGGTCTTCCTTCTTTCACAGTTTATAAGATGCAGACATTCATATTGTTGTTGGATGCTTACAGGGTTTAGCCAGCCCTCCTTGAAGTCCCTGCTGCTTAAAGGATCAGTCCAGCCAGAAATGATATTTTACCTATAAAAGGGGTAGTCTGGTTTGCTGCAAGCACTATTTTATCAGATCACACTGCACTGGAACTGAGGGCATTCCTATACGTCGCGTTCTGATGCAGGCAATCGCACTGTGGGTCTGCGCTGCCATTGATATAAATGGCACCGATCCACCCCCTCCCGCCCCAGAACACCGCTCAGCTTGACCTATGCGATCCAGTGCGTTCTGACCGCGAACTGCACGGAGACGCACTGGATACACAAGAGATCTAAGAAACTACAATACACAAGAGATACAAGAAACTACAATACACAAGAGATCTAAGAAACTACAATACACAAGAGATACAAGAAACTACAATACACAAGAGATCTAAGAAACTACAATACACAAGAGATACAAGAACCTATCACGTAGTTTAAAGTGTTTTTCCACGTTTTGCAGTCAAGTTTGAGAAGACCCCTTTATATGTTTGTGTTCTATACACACAGCATAATGAAAAATCTTACCTTTTAGATGTTTTGTTGCAGCAGGCAGCATGGCTGACTTCCTCAGGATCTCACTGTCCTTCTAGAAAGACTTAGGACTGACATTTAATTATTGCGTTTCTCTCATTAACTTCATTAACATAGAATGCAGAAGCCAGGGCTGTAATCCTTTAACCCAGGGATGGCCAAACTGCGGCCCTCCAGCTGTGGTGGAACTATGAATCCCATGAGGCTTTGCAAGATTTTCACAGCCACAGGCATGACTCCCGGGGGGAGCTGGAGGGCCATAGTTTGGCCATCCCTGCTTTAACCCATCAGAGTCCCTCCCAACATTACAATAGGGGTTCTCAATTACAATACTGTACCCATGTGGTTGCGGTGCAGTCCCATTGGCTGCAATGGTCACATTTAGCAAGCGGCCACACCTGCCAAATGCTACATGCTGTTGAAATGTGCTGTGACACAATGCATTGCAGCCGCGGTATGTATACAAGCCTGAGTGACCCTTATTTTAGCCTTTAGGGAGCCTCTGGCAGTAAAAACATGCATCGACTGCCTGTTTTTTCCCACCCTCCTGGTACCCATCTGAACGAGGCCTAAATGCCATTCAGTTAGGGTTTTATTGTACTTTTACAATACATTTATATATGGCAGGTGAATTGATAATGAAAATTGACTCAAATTTGATTTTTTTAAATTCTTTTTTGGTGAAACTCAGAAGTGCAGTTAACTGTCTTCTATAATATGGTTCGCTGTACCATCGGTGGCAGGTCTATATCATTAGCGTATGTTATGTATGTGTCACCCCACAACATTGTTTTTTTTAAATGCGTGCTGCATTTATACCTTTCAGATTGTTAGAAGATACAGTGACTTTGACACGCTCAACAATAACCTGCAGGTAAGTTTTTTTGCCTTGCTTTAATCATAAATAGTTTCTCTAGAAGAGTGAACATTTCCCCTGCCGGATGCAAAATGTGAAATACACAAATAAACTGGTGAATATCAGCACTGCTCATCTTGTATTCTCAGAAGATACTAGATGTTCTTTCCTTATCCATAAACAAAACATTTCAGGCCAGTGGAGTGATAAAAAAATCAGATGCAAAACTTTAGAAAAATATAAACTTAACAAAATACATAAAATAAATTACCCCAATGAATTCTAGTTCCTGGAAATTGAGGTTTTATGACTAAGTTTCAGTGTGGGCTGAGTAGCATTAGCAGATAACAGATTACAGTTTTACTTTCTGAATTTGTCTTAAGTGGTGACTTCCTAATACAAAATAGTTGAATTTAAACATTTTGGATACAGTAGGGAGGAGTTAAACCCCATCTTTTTTTTTTTTAATACCATCTGTGTACATTGCAATTTCCCTTTTAATTCTTGTCCTGGTGATGCAACAGAAAATAATGCCAAAATAAGGCTCCTTTCACATGGACGGTCTAATCGTGTCCACCTGTCAGTTTTTCAGACTGATCCAATCGGATGCCATGTGCTAGTCTATGGGCAGCTATATGTAAATGGCTGGGCACCAGTTTACACTCGGTTACCCCCTACTGTGACCAGGTTTGGGAAAACAAACGGATTAGAGACCATGTCTGTTTACATCCAATTCCCCATAGACTGACATGGGGTCCGGTCATTTCAGTTTTTTCCTCCATCGTAAGATGGAGGAAAAAACTGGACGGTCACAATGTGGACATCCGAACCGTATTTCTCCGATTAGGAGGGGATCCATGCACAGATCCTTTCCTGATCAGTCTGTGTGACACACTTGAGCTGCTTGAACATTTGTGCAGGTGTTTTTGCAAATGTTTCAGGCTTGTGTGTTTTGTTTTTTAAAGGAGAACTATGGTGTTAGGGCTTTTCCCCATAGTTCTCCTTAGGGTAACGGGAGGACACAAACTAGCGTCCTCCCGTCACCCTAAACTAAGTTTACCCTAAGTATACCCGTCACCCTTAAGCTGTAGCTCGCGGTATACTGAGACGCCGCAACTGAAGCAGATCCCGACAATTATGTCTGGATCCGCCCAGCTGCGTGAGTGACAGCTGGCTCTGTCTATCAGTGCTGGCGGATCGGAGCGGGGAGATGGGAATCCAGCCCCTCCCTGTCACGGCAGAGAGCCGTGACAGGATCAAGAAGTGAGCGAACGCCGGTATGTGTTCGCTCACTTCCCGATCTACTGAGCCGACCTGTGACACTCTCATTGTTACAGGTCGGCTAGAACTATGAGGATGAGTGAAAAGCACTCACCTCATAGTTCTCCTTTTTTACATGTTTTTATTTTTAGCCAATGCAGTTAGTTACTAGAGAAAACAAAATGCCTGAAATATGCACGTTATGCACTTTTTTGTATTTTTCACATGTTTTTCTTGCACTCCCATTACGCCAAAAATGCTTGACTGCTCCAAGCTCATGTCATTTTTTGAGCTTCAGTTGATTTTCTACAAGTGACAGAACTCTCAGGTGTACACACTGGCCATTTAAAACAATGGGATTCTCCCTCTTGAACGTTGTAGTGCTTAGGCGTTCAATCTACTGAACGCTCAGTTATGAATGGGGCCTTAGACAGTTGTGACCAGTACCAGTGTCCAGCACAAAAAAAGACAAAAAGAGACGCATAAAAAGACAAATAGTGAGGGTGAATCTCCTCAACTGGGGCAATAAAAACCTGACCGGGGTTCTAACTCTGACCTAGTCTATTTAAACCCAAAAAAACGTTTCGGCTTTATATACACTTTAGTTCTGGAGAAAATCTAGTGGCCATTCTAACAGCCATAGTAATAAATTTGTATTATACTATAGGTAGTATTCTTGGTTTTAAGAACTTTTTTCTCCAGGAAAAAGGGAACTTTTTGGAATAAGCGTAAGAATATTTTCATGATTTGGAATTGTTATGGGATCCCAGAATCTGAAAACCTAGGGGCACACCTTGTGTGTGTTTTTTAAAGATCCCATTTGACCTGCAACACCCATTGCAGGTGATGGTTTATGTAGAAGTAGCTGAAGGATCTAGGTTTGCCCCATGGATATTTTTGGCTGAGCTTTCCAGTGGGGGGTTAGTGCATGTTACCTGTGCTGTGCATCCTGACATTGTTACGGTGACTTGCTGTGTCTGCAATTCTCCCAAGACATTGAGCAAAATGTGCACATATTCTAGGGGGAACGCTGGTTGCATAGTAGCCACTTCAAAATAGCCTTATTTATAATACATTGCTTTTCAGTAGGGCAGTTGTCTACAAGGGGCTAAAGAAATCTAATTGAGTCAAAAATGTTTTTACAGTTTCAAGTAACAGTTTAAATCTCTAATTATAACCTATTAACGTTAATTGATGCTCATTTTTGTGGCCAGGAATGCAGCAATGGACGCACCCTAAACCAATTTTTGGTGAGGTCTTTGGGATTGATTTACTGAAGGCAGATAGTCTGTTCACTTTGCAGGGAATTGTCCCCTTAGCTTAGTTGTGGTGAAAATTCTCTTTGCAAAGAAAAATCCGATTGCAAGCAAGAAAAATAAAAAAAAAAACAGTATTTTTGCTTACACACAATTGGATGATGGAAGTCAGCAGAGCTTCCCCACATTCACTAAGTTAAAGGAGAACTATTGGGATAGTAAAATGTACTCTTTCCAGCATGTGACACTGGAGGTGTCACATGCTGACTCTAGAGATTGAGATGAACAATCACGAACTGCTGATCATTCAGCTCACGGTCTTCTCCCTGCAGAGAGTAGTGACTGTCAGTCATCCCCCCTCCCCTCTCTGGGCACTGTTTCTCAGTGCTCATTGGAGGGACAGATGGGAGGGGGTTGCACAGCTGGCTCTGGCTCTAGAGAGCCAGAGCCAGCTGTCAATCGGGCAGCAATCAGTCCCCAAAAGAGGACTAAAGGCAAAAAAAGGTTTCCTTTTAGTTTTCCTTTTAAGGGAAAATGCCCTTGCAAAGTGAACTTTGTGTCTGATTCCACTGGGTTGTGCACATAGACCTTAGATACTGAAGCATGTTGAGCTTTGACCTCACATTCCTCTTGGCTTTCAGTCCCCCCCTCCCCATTCCACATGTTATGGTGATAAGGTAAAGAGGAGGAATTCTGTAGTCCTTACACACTTTCTTTTCTAGCGTAACAACACTGCTCCTCCATAAATAGAGTGTAGTGAGTGAGCATTGCCACCTTAGAACAGGAAGTCTGTTACTAGCAGTTAAAAAGAATGTAGAAAGAGAACTAATCCAGCCACCACAGCTAAGGACTGGTAAGTTGGTTGTCAATTTTAATTGGATTTCCCCTCAAAGCGCACCTTTCCTCCCCAAACACACAAACCCTCCTGTACATGCAGCTGCTGATATGCTAAACGAAAGCATAAACTATCAACTTGCATCATTTTTCCTGATTTTCGGTGATGTAGCCAGGGCTGCCCCCTGGAAAGGCTACATCACCAGCGCCTTTCAGGGAACTCTGGTAGGTAAACTGCAAGATCTGTGTAAAATGAATAGGCTTTTTTTCTGAGATCTTGTCAAATTTTGCAAAATATGGTGAGATCTCAGAAAAAAAGCCAGTTTTTGCACACAGATCAGTCATTGACATTGGTTGGCTAGAAGAGAGTAAGGAAGATGCCAGCCACTGCTAATTTTTAGACCTATGCGGGAAGGATGGGTGCATTTCAGGGCATCAATAATATGTATAGATAATTGGATTTTCTATATGGAGGCTAGCAATTGGCACAGGACATGAACAAAGTAGGTTTGGCCACTCGGCTAAGCTTGCTTCTCTGACCTGTAGATTGGGATATAGCTGTAGTCACTTTTCAGTATCATGAGTTATATGAACAATCATTAATTTTATGGAACATTTAAATGAGACAGACATGCTAGTATGTTCGTTGGCTCCTGTCAAAGTTGGCCCTAGTACGTGTATGGGTGTACATGAGGTAAGGGACCTTACATTGTACGCTCCTTGAGTGCATGATTGATGTGAATGTACAATATGTAAAGCATGGCGTAAATTGTGGACACTATAATAATACCTGTAATAAAATAAAATAAATGTGTTCGGCACAATGTATAAAAAAGCAAAGGCTCAGAAAATGCCCTTCTGCATGAACCCTGCATTCAGTCTTTGCTTTGCCAAATGGGCACTTATAAGTGCGGATAAATCTACAGCTATTTAAAATCAAATAAATATGATGAGCGATGTAATAATACTCCGTAGATTTATGGAACCTTTAGAGGAGACACTAGTTATTAGTTCTGCGCTGTCATCACAATTGAGAAGGTGAGGGCACTGGAAAATGCTTCAGTGAGCGAGCCGCACGTTCTCCCCCTGCGGATGACCATTTCATTTTCCCTTGTCCTCGTTTCAGGTGTAATTGGATTTTCAGCCGCTTGTCAGATCTGATAATCTCCATTGCTCGCATCTAGCATGTAAACGGGCAGTAATTCCTGCTTTTTAACGCAGGCCACGCTTCATATCCTCTTCATTACCGTGCCCTGTATCTCGCACTTCTTTCTTTGGCTTGCTCCTGGGCTGTGCTTAATGCACGCAAATTGGATTTTGGGACAGATGGTAGAACACAACTACAAAAAGAAAATGTGCATTTTATAATGACGCAAGTTCAGAATACAAAGTCGTTTTATGTCAGATGGGCCATTTATTTTAAGGTCTGTTCCGATTTATAGGATCTTTCAGCCAACAGATGTAGGTCCTTCTTTAGCTTATCTGGCTGCAAGGTGTGTTTTAGTTATTATTACTATACAGGATTTATATAGCGCTAACAATTTGCGCAGCGCTTTACAATAAGGAAGGCATTACAGTTACAATACAGATCAAAACAAGATGGTAAGAAGGGACCTGCCCATGAGAGCTTATAATCTAAAAGATCTAAAAGGGAGGGGCAAGTTATACTAATGATGGTAGCTGTGTAAGGTATTGAGTTGTTTGAGAAAGTGATAGTTCAGTGATTGGTTTGAGGTGGGATAGGCTGAAGAGATGAGTCTTCAGGGATCACCTAAAAGCAAACCGAGTTGGAGATAGTCGTACAGGTTGGAGTAGGGAGTTCCAGAGGATGGGAGAGACTCTAGAGAAGTCCTAGAGGCAAACATGGGAGGAGTTGATGAGGGAGCTAGGGAGCAGGAGGTCTTTGGAGGAGCAGAAAGGACAGTTAGGGTGATGATTTGAAATGAGGGTGGAGATATGGCCAGGGGTAGAGTTGTAGATGGATTTGTAAGTGGTTGTTAACATTTTTAATTTTATTCATTGGGGCGATTGGAAGCCAGTGCAGGGATTGGCAGAGAGGGGTGGCAGACACTGAGCAGTTGGTTAGGTGGATGAGTCTAGGAGCAGCATTCATGAAGCCTGTTTGGAGGTCGGCCAATGAGGAGGGAGTTATAATAGTTGAGAGATAACAAGGGAGTGGATGAGTAGCTTTGTGGTTTTATTGGTGAGGAAGGAGCCTATTTTGGAGATATTACGAAGGTGAAGGCGGCAGGATTTGGATAGTGATTGGATGTGGGGAAAAAAGGTGAGAGTCAAGGATCACGCCTAACACCTTGGCATTTGGGGAGGGGAGGGATAGTTGTGTTATTAAGCCCAATTCAAAATTTGGGGAAAGGCGGGGGGGTGTTATGAACTACAAGTAGAAGAATGCCTTCTTATGAAGTATGCAGTGCTTTGAAATCGTAATGTTTTAGGAAAAGCAGACAAAAAGGAAAAAGCCTATGGGCAGTGGTGACCGATTCCAGGATTTAAATGGGTTTGTAACAAAACCAAACAGTTGTAATCCAGTGTAGCAATTCAATTATCTGCCCACACATCCATATGATTTTTTCCCCCAGGGTTATCAAAAGCGTCTTTTATTCATGTTACGTGATAGATCGTCAGTCACAAGTTCTAGTAGTGAAGGAATCTAGAAACTGTAAAAATGACAGCTGACATTTAACTTTTTTTGGGCTGTTCTTGTTTCCTTGTTAAGAGAACAAGTCACGCCTGAACTTAGGAGCGAATCTGAATATTCAGTCATCATTTATCATTAATGTGCCGGCTTTCCTATAAACAGCTTACCTTTTCTCTCCTACTTGGCTTAAAGGGGAACTCCCCCTGCTTTTTTTTCCTGTTTCACCTTACCTGTTATGCTGTGAATCCAGCTTTGTCTTGCTGTGACCAACCAATCCACAACCTTTGTTCCATGCCACCATCTTCGTTTTTTGCTTCATCGAAACCAGCTGTCTCTTCTGGGTCCTGAAGCCGGCCCCAAAGATACCCGGGCAGGTCTGTGAGTCCCTGTGGAGGTTGCAGGGCCAGACAAAAAACAATAAATTAGCATTTTAGATCACACTAAGATAGCAGGGAGATAAAGTTGATCTGGGGTAGTGAAGGTCCGCTTTATCTTATTGTGTCTGAAGATGACCCTAGGAGCTGGGATTTAACGGGTAAAAAGGTCAACCAAAGTCTAACATTTGGCAATGCTGAATGCAAATCTAGTGGTATTCCTTATGCCTTTACTTGTTCATTCCTGGTTTGCAGGCTTGTGTCTCTCTATAGTCTAAAGTGCAGACAAGCCATATCTGCAAAATTGCTTCTTGTCCATAGATATAATACTGTCAACCTTCCGAGTAGTATCGTTGCTCTGTTTATACAGACCACACTTTGAGTCATACGGGAGAACGTGTTTTTGCTGTTGCTGCCTTTTGGTGTTACAAATTGTTTGGCAAACTCTGTTCAATGGATCTGGAATCTTTTAGCTTAGTGACCTTTACTTGCAAACAATGCAATGCTTATACTTTGTATTTTTATGTCTTTCCAGATCTCAGGTCTAAGTCTACCTCTTCCTCCCAAGAAACTCATTGGAAACATGGACCGTGAATTTATTGCTGAGCGACAGAAAGGGCTCCAAAACTATCTGAACTTTATCACCTCCAATCATATATTGAGTAATTGTGAAGTTGTAAAGAAGTTCCTTGACCCGAATAACTATTCAGCAAATTACACAGGTAGGTCACAAGACTGATGTTTTATGGTGCCTTTCACTGAGTCAGACTTTGGTATGATCCAGGTGATGCAGTCATGTGACGGTCTGATTGTGTATGATAGTCTCGCCAAATCTACAGATCTGCATTGGCTTCAGGAATACCATGTAGAGGGGTTTGAAACTGTTGGGCAGTTGAGGGGAAGTCTCTGACCAGCCATAATCGGACATGCTGGGCTCAAGCTGTCTGCCCAATGCGGCTGAATTAAAATGAACGAAAGCCCTTAGTTAGGATCATAAAAATGTGCTGGAACTCCCAACCTTGATCTTTTCTATAGTTGGTAAAGGGAGCTTGAATGAATCTGTCAAAGCATGGAATCTTAGAATCTGTTAAAAAATTTAACATTCCCTTAAGTAGCTGCTGGTGAAAGTGGCAAGGCTCTTTACTAGTTCGAACATGGAAGCCAAACCTGAAATGTTTAAAGGGGCCCTTCACCCTCTGCACCCACTTTTTCTCATTCCACTGCTATTCCCCTCCACCCTAACAAGCCAATATTTATTTTTTACCAAATGCTTTTCACAATTCCTGTATTCTCACTTAGGCAATAATTACATATGTGCCCCCCTAGCCCCCAGGGATACTTACGTCATGCATCCTAGGAGGCATTGGGGTACTCTAAAGTGCATGCACTGTGATGTGTTATCAGGAAGCAAAAATGTAAAGGGGCTAATGGGAAGGGAATGAAGTTCCTCCTTAAGGTGCCCATACAAGTAATTATCTTTGACGCTATTGTTGACCTAATTTGCCAATATTTAGGCTGCGAATGATTATGTCCTTTTTTCAAGGCTGACTGATAATTGAAGGCTGGTTTATGTGGCCTTATGATGGATACATCGGCATGAATCTGAAGACCTAAGATAACACTATTGTTTTCTTTACTGCATGAATGCTGAATGATAAGATAGGCCAGGTTTGGCACCCTTGCTCAGTTGTCAGGTGGCCCGATCTGCTTTTGATAAATGCTAGGCGTGTGTAGCCTGTAAGTTGATTACATAGCTGCCTTGCTTGAGGACTACATCTCCTGGCAGGCTTTAATGTGACACCATGTAGTGGAATGGCTGTGAATGGTGCATTGGGAGTTGACTTGAGTGGTGGCAGAACAGGAGGTATCATATGTAGGTAGCGCTATCAGGTGAGGGGGGTTTGGATAACAGACAACATAAAGGTTATACATATGGGTGATTACACGGCACAGGCTTCTACTGATCCTGGCCCTGCTTTCTGTAAGACCCCATTCACAGTGAGTGATTTGTTTGGCGTTTTCCGTTCAAAAATCGCTCAAATATGAAGCTCAATGTAGCTCTTCCAATGCATTTCAATGGAGATGTTCACATCTTGCAGCTCATTGTCACCTGTAGGTTGTAGCTGAAGCTTGTAGCTCAAACATGAGCTATTTTTTGGTGGATTTCGCATTACTTGGCCCCAATAGACTTCAATGGTGTAGCTCAATGTCGCTCATTATCGGTGTTTTTTGCACAACATCGTAGCAAGTGTCACTTTTGCCCAGAAATTACACTCTCCACAGAAGCAGGAAACAGGAAGAGGAAATATGTCACATCAAAGACCACTTTTGATTGGATATAGCCCAATGTAGCAGCTACAGAGTCACTGCAGTAAAATGCCAAAAGAAGCGCTACGTACGCAACTAAATAAGCACTGTAGCTCAAAGATGCTCAGTGTAGCTCAATGTCGCTCTGGTCAAATCAGCTCATCTTGTTGAAGCTCAGTGTGAATGGGGTCTAAGATAGGTATTAGACTTGTCTGGCACTCCTTTGAGGCATATAGGGAAGAGCAATCTGGTGGCTTAGAGAATATAACCTTAAAAACTGTTACGGCATAGATAAAGACCGCAATTATCCATAGAAGCTGATTTGTAAAAGACCCTGAAGTTTAAGTATGTACGTTCGTGACTATTGTGAATATAGTTTTTATAGTCTTGTCATCGTACTGTTTTTGTTTTATGGATTCAAGTCACCGGTGTATCAGCTGCTGTGTGTTTAGCATGTTTGGCATACAATAGACAAATGAAAGCCAGCCGTAGCAGCTGCCTCTGATGTCTACACAATCTCTGCGAGGAGATGAAATACCTTGTTTTTATTAACACATGTTCTTTAAGGGTTCACATATTGCACAGAACTGTGCAAAGGCCCAACGCTTTGCTATAACACCAGAGCTGAAAACAAATCGAGAGAAATGAGATGTATAGACAGCTTAAAGAACAAATGAACTCTGCAAGCTGTGCCTCCAAAAGGGCCTCAAAAGGCAGGCAGCGGGCAAAGGACTAGTCACCAGTACTGTCTGTGGTCTTCCTACAGCTGATATGCTCCACCAATGACCTACCATACGATGGTCTGCTCTCTCTTTGTGGAGCTGGCCATCTTGGTAGAGACAGGGCTTCGTTTCCTACATGTCAGAGGCTCCAGCAAGGAGACCAGTAAACAGCACAGTAGTGGCATTCTCAGATGTCACTCTAAATCTCTTGAGACTAGCATTTAGAGGCAACAGAGCCTTAGATCTTACACTGTAGATATCTTGAGCTGTAGGAGTGCTTAGGCACTCTCTCATACCAGGAAGTACACTGTTATTTCTCAAGAGGAATCAAGATAAAAGGTACATTTTTCAGGGTTCTGTTTCTGAACAATTCATATTTCGAAATATTCTCTAATGTTTTACTCTTCTTTTTGGTTCAAGCCCACTTTAAGTTGACCCGGATGTGCATTTTTCAAAAATAGCTTGTTAATACTACATCTAGTATAACTTAAAGGTTTGGTTCACCCAGGCTAATATTTCGGTTTTTGATATTTGTTGGAGAGTTAAAGCACCTAAAAAATTCTAAACCTCTCACAGACTCTGCCGGTAGGATCTCTAATCTCGAGTCCCTGTGCCTGCATACCGGCAGCTTCTACAAGGTTGTCCTACTGCTAGGATTTTTAATGCCCCCACTGAAGCTGTTTCATTATAGTTGTGGCTACGATGGGGGAAGAGTTAGAATGTCTCTCAGAATTTAAACAGCAATACCTCAAATAGGCATTGCTACCCAGTACTAAGAGACCCAAGGAGTATGTCATAGGATTCTTGCCTCTATAGTAGAGATGTATGAAGCCACTGGGTGACTCTTCCCATGAGACTCCACCTAGTCTGTTTCACAGACTCCTTATGTGATTGGAAGGGTGTTAGACTGCTAAAGATGCTTTTTAGCACACCTAGGAGGTCAGAAAGTGCCCAAAATTGAAATCGGGAGCATCCCTTGGAATTCTCTAGACTGGGGAAGACATTTTACTAGGAACATAGTATGCATTTATTATACGTCACAAGTAATAGGTTGCCATGAATTAGGAATATTCTTAAAAATGATACCTGATAATAAATGATCTCTGTTATATTTGCACAGAAATTGCTTTGCAGCAAGTGTCCATGTTCTTCCGATCAGAGCCCACATACGAGGTGATGGAGCCCCTTAAAGACATAGGTGAGGTTATGGTTAAGAATCACCATTGTCAGTTATTTCTTGTGGCACTGGTGTTCGTGAATCCCATCTTATGTTGTTTTCCCATAGGCTGGAGATTACGGAAAAGGTATTTCCTAATGAGATGTAAAAATCAGCCGAAAGACCATCTTGTCTTAAGCTGGGTAAGTGGATTAACTGTCTGTCCTATGATATTTCCTTTTAAAGGTGCACTTCAGGCAAAATTAAAAATGAAAGCTTGAGATCATAGCCTACCTGCTGAGTGATTTTTTTTATTTTTTTTTTATATACAAGACATTTATTGGGTGTCTGCTATTTTCCATGAGGAATTCTTGACAAAAATATACATTTTAGGGTACTGCTTAGGCACAAATAACATTTCTAAATGTTTTCTATGGCAAATCTATACTTTTTCAATTGAGGTTCCTTTTTAGTGGTACTGAGAAAAAGTGGACAGAGGTAAATATATTTGCACAGTATTAAAAATAGTAAAGAATGGGAGGTGAGGTAGGGAATGAAAATGAGGGCAGGAGGTGATTAGGAGAGTAGGAGGCGGGGTAATGTGCAAAAGAATCAGAAAATCAGGATAAGGAGAAAAGAGGAAAAAAGGGAGAGGAGAAGCACATTGACAAATCCTTTTCGCATGAGTAACTCCATTTTCATCCAATACTTCAGCAGTCTATCTCATTACCTTTATGTGATGATCCTGGAACGTGCCCGCTGGTGATGCTGGAACACCATCCTTGCTGCCTCCCACACACCAAAGCTTAATGGAAAAAATGCCAGTACTAAGACATTTCTAAAATCCACCAGACAGATTCAAACCTACCTTGAAGGTGCGAATATGACAAGTGATGCAAAACTCTGACAAAGATGAAGTCACACAGCGTATGCTATAAGAAGTATACTCCTAATGACCCTCTATGGAGCTGGATGTTCTTATTCTGCAGGGGGATTACAATTTCTTTCACTTTAGGGCAGGAAGTGTGTTTGGACTACAGAAAACTTCCACCTCTCCTAATCTCTATAACATAGGTGTTCTGTAGTTAACAGAGCCTGATAACAATGTCTGAGGCTTCAGTGCAGCATTGTCAGACCACTACATGAGTTTGAGCTCATTGGACTTTTGGCAGAAACAGATTTTTTTTTTAATGGATAGAACAATACCCTTTCAATCGTAAATCTAACCAACCAAAAGGGAGCAATTAAGACAAGTTCATTGTTAGGGTTTAAAAATCTGTCCTGTCCAAAATTAATATCTAGCAGGAACTTCAGTAGTTCTGGATTCCCAAAGCTCGAAACTTGGCACAGCAGAAATGGAGAGTGCAACAAGGAAGGGGGACACATGTCATTGTCTGAATGGAGAGTGCAAAAAGGTAGAGGCATACAGGTCATTGTCTGAATGGAGAGTACAACAAGGAAGGGGGACACATGTCATTGTCTGAATGGAGAGTGCAACAAGGTAGAACGATACAGGTCATTGTCTGAATGGAGAGTTCAACAAGGAAGGGGGACACATGTCATTGTCTGAATGGAGAGTGCAACAAGGTAGAGGCATACAGGTCATTGTCTGAATGGAGAGTACAACAAGGAAGGGGGACACATGTCATTGTCTGAATGGAGAGTGCAACAAGGTAGAGGTATACAGGTCATTGTCTGAATGGAGAGTTCAACAAGGAAGGGGGACACATGTCATTGTCTGAATGGAGAGTACAACAAGGAAGGGAGACACATGTCATTGTTTGAATGGAGAATGCAACAAGAAAGGGAGACGCATGTCATTGTCTGAATGGAGAGTACAACAAGGAAGGGAGACGCATGTCATTGTCTGAATGGAGAGTGCAACAAGGTAGAGGGATACATGTCATTGTCTGAATGGAGAGTACAACAAGGAAGGAGGGTACATGTCATTGTCTGAATTGGGAGTGCAACAAGGTAGGGGGACACATGTCATTGTCTGTATGGAGAGTGCAACAAGGAAGGGGTGACACATGTCATTAACTGAATATGAAAACATTGATGTTGCTTCCTTCTCTCTGGCAGGCTGATCTGGGTCCTGACAAATTTTTACAAGATAAAGATTTTCAGTGTGCGATAAAACTCCTGCCATCGTGGTCTGTGAGTATACATAACTTTCCATACCTATCACTGAATTTATTTTGTAGTTTGCAGAATAAGTTTTCATAATTTGCATTCTGTCCCAATGTTAATCCAGTGCTTAAGTTATATCACAATATAAGAAAGCTGCTGAAAGATATAAATCTGTATCGAGCAGCTCCCGGGGAGGACAGGTGCTGCGTGTGATTATTACGCAGCCCCCGTCCTTCTCTATGGGAGTGTGCGGCCCTACGCCGCCCTACCCTCACCCGCACGTCCGGTCGGGTGGTCCGTACTTGTACACTGACAGGATGGATCCTGCCTGCATCCGAGGCAGGAAACACGCACCTGTACGGACCTGCACTTGGGGTGAGCGTAGGGGGGCTTACGACCGCAAACTCTCATAGAGAAGGGCAGGGGCTGCATACTAATCACACGCAGCACCTGTCTTTCCCAGGAGGGGCCCGATACGGCCATGCACGCAGCACGGAGCTGTATGTGCTAGCCTTTTCTAGTGTGAATGAGGGCTAAGTCTCTTCTGCCAAAATCTTCTACCTGTCTATCAGCGTTTTTCTTTTTTTTTTCCTGTGCACTGACCTATGCATGCTGAGACAAAGTAACTCCCGTGAGCATGTGCGAGTGTTGCATAATGCGGCCCGGCCAATCAAAAGGCCATAGACCCCGAACCTGAAAGTAGTCCAGGAGAAGGTGGGAGCGACAGAGGGGAGAGCAGTACTAACACATTATGGCACCTCCGGATGCCTTTTAAAAAAATAAATAAAACCCAAAACACTTTACTTCCACTGCCATTAAGAATGTGAACAACCACAGGTCTCTATGACTTGACACTGTTATGTGCTCTTAGGAGCTGGGGGACAGACCACATGTGAGGTGTAACATTGAGCAAGGCAGCAGTCAGACTTCAAGTGACTTCCAACTCTTCTCTTGAGTCAAACTCAAAGCAAGTAATGCTAGATAGGGGGAGCAAGTATCAAGGTTGCAAATTTCACTCAGCCCAACGTGTTCTCTTTAAGCAGGGATGCTGATTGCATTATTTGGTATACAGATAGGAACAGGAACAAGAGCCTGCATATCTGTATATGAAATTCTATTAGTGCAATATTAGAAGCATGCCAAATCTGAAATTAAATCAAGCCAATGAGAATGCAAATTAGTAGAAGAAGCAGAGAAAACCTTTTCTTAAACATTTGCATAATGGGTAAAGCTTTATGTAAGATGCTTAGAATATCAAAGGTGACAGGTTGTCCAAGATTTGTAACATTTATATAATCCTCGCATTGCCTTCAAAGCTGACGGGCAGACCCAGCAGAAAAATGTTAAGAAGCTCAGTATTAGGCATTGAGCTAGACAATTCTAGGTCATCTATATTCCAAGGCCGCCATTCCGAGGAGATCTATGTCATATAACAGGCAAATAGAGCAGACGACACTTGGCTGTCACTGTACGCAGCCTTTCCGATTTCCATGACTGCATTCTCCCGGCTGTGTGCGCCAGAGCTGCTTATACTTACTGGCTGTTCTCCGGGCACAAATGAATATGTAAAACCTACCTCATAAAAGCAGCTGTAAAAACAAAATGTGGGCGGACGTCTGAGAAAAAAAATGCAGGCACGATGTGAACTGGCACTGTTTGTGCCAGTTTATATACTGGGCCTGTAAAGCACTAGATGAGGTGCGGTCATTACAGCGTTCACTTGTATCTATAGCTATGGCATGGTTAAGTGTACCTGTTACCTTTAAAGTGGACCTGTCTGCCTGTTTTAAACATTTTATCAAATTGTTGGTGCTAAGTGATGGCTGCTGTTACCTTAGTGAGAAAAGCCTCCTCTTTGCCACTCTGTGATCTTGCTTTGACTTCATTGCTAAGGGATCAACATCTCTAATTTTTAACCAAGCCCCCCCCAATCTACCTGTTTAATGGGGTTTCTTACTGGACACCTAGGCACAATGGTTGGTCATGGGATGGTGGGTGGGAAGGGTGTAGCTCCAGGGTCACAGTTTGCTGAGAATATTTGATTTGGATGAACGGTATCTGAATTTTTACTCTTCTTTGCAGCATCCGTATATATACCGAGTGACGTTTGCCACTGCTAACGAGTCATCTGCACTTGTGATTAGACCATTCAATGAAAAAGGGACTCTGAAGGATCTGATCTATAAGGTAATTCCTACAGGACCTGACTGCTGGGGGAGTCAACAGCTTTAAAGCCCCCCTAAAAAAGAGTTTTTATTGGTGTCTTTGTGAGGCCATAAAAAGTAAAGAGGGGAATGTGTTTTTTATTTTTTGGACTGGAAGACACTGACGGCAATGTGATGCTTAGAATCTCTACAAAATATTTTCCAGTGTCTCTCTCTCCATTCAAGAGGTTTATTATCACTACCTGTCCCTCTGACACCCTTCCATTGGAAGGAATGTGCGGAGATATAACAGATCTAACCTTTCCCCAAACCATCCAAAACATAAACTAACAAAATTAGTTGTTGGAGTTGAGATTTAAAGAGACTCTGTCGCATCATAAAAATATTTCAGCAAAGGACATACTTGAAAAGAAAAGACTGATTTAATTGGCTATCCTGCCTTCCCATGGCAGCGGACTTAGGGGGACCATGTCTCTGCAATGGAGCAGCATTTAGCAGGTGACAGAAGTGGTAAGTATTCAGTTCCTTCTTTCTAGGTAATTGTTGAAACATTTCCATGATGTGACAGAGCCTCTTTAACTGTAGTATTGTTCATTAATATGGCCATACACAGGACAAATGTTCAGGCAATTTGATGAAAATGTAATATCTAAATGATAAGTAAATGAATGATTATAGTGATCGCTATTGTCTGATATGAATTTATGGTTATCAGTCCTCGTTTCCACTCATATATATACTTTGCAGTATATCTTTTAGATTGTAATTGTCCTGAACTCCAAGTTTGCAAAAAAACAAAACCTGTCTGCAGATAATAATGCCTCATGCAGCTTGAAAATCTTTTCAACCAGATCTTCCATTTCTGATGGTCATCATTTGATCCTTTTTCTCTGTACAATGTTCATACAATACCCAGTCTACCAGATTTGTGTGTCTTGTGAAAAGTCAGCCTTTGTATGACCAGTACTCCATTCCATTCTGCTCCAAGGTTGCTAATACTCTCCTCCAGTCATTCATGTCTTTGTCAGTGTACATTTCATTTGGCCATATTTTTGAAGGTGTTTGATATAAGCACAGCACTGGAAGGAACATTTAATCTGGTTGTTGTCATACATTACAGACTGGTACTTATTAGGCATTGTGACATAAAAGGGTGACTTTTATAGATGACATATGTTCCGCTCCCCCTCCATTACATGTAGTAGCCAACTGTATTCTTTATTTGTACATCATGCTTTATTTTTGGGTTTTCTTCTTTCTATATCAATTAACTCCTGTGTTTCCATCTTTTAGGCCAAACCTAAAGATCCCTTTCTGAAGAAATATTGTAATCCAAGGAAAATCCAGGGACTTGAGCTCCAGCAAATCAAAACCTTTGGGCGACAGATACTAGAGGTAGATTTATATGTTGGATTAAACCTTGCTTACTTCAGGCAATGACAGGCTAAACAAGCAATACAATATCTCTAATCTGGACAAAAAGTACCAACAGAGTGATAAATGGATGTGCAAAATTTTAAAAACCTGTATTAAATATGACATATTTAGAAGGAGTTTGAGAGTACACGGCAGTGATTTCAAATATTAGGAATAAAAATGAAGCGCAATAAAATATTATTGTAGATGAAAGAGCCTGTGTGCTAAAATAAAACAGACTCTGGAGCTGGGATAATGCACAAAGCGCGGCCTTCTTTGCAAAGGTCATGGCACAAGAGGGGTGAGTATGCAAAGGATTAGATTTACATTTTGCAAGCATAGTGTGAGGATTTGTGTTATGGTCAGGGTTACAGGGAGGGTTAGTCTTGGGGATACAGGGAGGGTTAGACTTGGGGATACAGGGAGGGTTAGTCTTGGGGATACAGGGAGGGTTAGTCTTGGGGATACAGGGAGGGTTAGTCTTGGGGATACAGGGAGGGTTAGTCTTGGGGATACAGGGAGGGTTAGTCTTGGGGATACAGGGAGGGTTAGTCTTGGGGATACAGGGAAGGTTAGTCTTGGGGATACAGGGAGGGGTTAGTCTTTGGGATACAGGGAGGGGTTAGTCTTGGGGATACAGGGAGGGTTAGTGTTATGAGGGTTACAGGGAGGGTTAAGGTTACAGGGAGGGTTAGTGTTAAGGTTACAGCGAGGGTTAGTATTTTGGTTAGGGTTTCATGGAGAGTTAGCGTTACAGAGAGGGTTAGTGCTAGTAAAAGGGAGGGTTAGTGTTAGGGCTACATCGATGGTTAGTGTTACATGGAGGGTTACAGAGAGAGTTGGTGTTAGGTTTGGGGGTTACATGGAGGTTTAGTGGGAAGATTATGGTTAAGATGACAGTTACAGGGAGATGTAGGGGGGAGTATAAGGCCTGGTTCACACCTGAATGTTTTGTAGCGCGTTCAACGCTCAAACATCTAAATCCCATTGTTTTCAATGGGTCTGGTTCACACCTTGCCGTATTTCCGCCCATCCGAACGCGATACAAAACGGCCTACATGTACTTCTTTGGGGCGTTTTGGTCTTGCGTTTCCATTGGGATACAGCCAAGTAGCCCACGGAAACGCGCGTTTGTCGTGCGACGCGAACCGCGCGACAAACGCGCATATTCAATACGCCTAGGTGTGAACCCAGCCTAATTGTTTCAGGTTACAGCGAAGATTTGTGCTAGGGTTGATACAGGAAGAGTTATTATTTAATGGCTGGGGTTACAGAGAACGTTTTTGCTATGGTTGGGATTGCAGGGAGGGTAATTAGTAGTTTAAGGGCGGATTAGTGCTAGGGTTACCAAGGTGTCTGGCTGCTCCCTGTGAAGCTTCCAACTCCTGAAGCAGTGTGTGGAAGAGTGGCTGCACAATATCTATGAAAGCAGTGAATTGCAATGTTCCGCAGAGGCAGAGAAAACTGCCTGTTCCCCGCTGTCATTTACAGTGCGGGACACCCTGGTAGGCCAGGAGCTGGGAGGGAGCAGTGCAGTTGTCCTGAAGTGTGAGAAGTTGAAGAAGACTACAGGGCTATTACTGACAAAAGGCATAATGAATCGCTATTCTGGAACACCATCATGAAGTACTAATTATAAACATTTTATTTATGTGAGCAGCCTGAATAGTGTTTTTGGTTGACAGTTTAACTTAAAGTAGAATGTACTTGGACAACATTGCCATTCCTCACCATTGTACTGATCGCCTCCAGGTACTAAAGTTCTTACATGATCGGGGCTTCCCATATGGACATCTCCATGCATCTAATGTTATGCTGGAAGGAGAGAACTGTCGACTGATGGACCTGGAGAATTCTTTGCTCGGACTGCCGTCATTTTACAGACCGCACTTCTCACAGTTCAGAAAAATCAATGTAAGTTGAATACTAATTTGGGTTTAACCCCTTCATGACTGAGGCCTTTTTTTCATTTTTTGTACCCATGTTGTATTCCACATTTTAGGCCTGAAAATTACTTAAAACCCCCCAACATTATATATTTTCTGAATGCCAAGACCCTATAGAATAAAATGGTGGTAGTTGCAAATTTTTATGTTGGCAATATTAGCGCAACTCCTTATTAAACCCCAATATTTAGTGAAAAATTTAATTAAATGCCCCAAAACACAACAAAATACCCATTTTTTTAATGAAATATAAAAGATGAGGTTACAATGAGTAAAACGATACCCAACATGCCAAAAGGGGTTAAGTAAAATGAATCTTAAACCAGAACTAAAGTCCACAAATACCTCTGCCAAGTGTGCTGAGAATGTACATGGAGCTGCGCATGGGCAGCTCAGTGTACATTCTAAAGATGATTGTGAACAAGCAGGTAAGTTTTATTTTAGTGCAGAAAAGTCACTTCTGCAGTAAAGAGCTTGTCTGCTTGCATGTTTTCACTTTTAGCCCTCGTTCACACCTGAACGTTTTGTAGCGCGTTCTACGCTCGACGAACGCTCTACAAAACGCTCAAAAATATAAATCCCATTGTATTCAATGGTCTCGTTCCCACCTTGGCGTATTTCTGCCCGTCCCTAACGCGCTACAAAACGGCCCACGCCTGAAAAGGTACATGTACTACTTTGGGCCGTTTTGTTGCGCGTTTCCATTGGGATACAGCCAAGTAGCCTTCGGAAACGCGCGACGGTCGCGCGACTTTTTACCGCGGATCGCGGTAAAAAAAAAGCGCAACAGACACGCATATGCAATACGCCTAGGTGTGAACGAGACCTTAGTTCCATTTTAAGTCTTTATACAGCTTGTTCTATGCATAATTTATATATGTACATGTGGATGTGGGACAGCTGTATTTGCGCATTACAAATACAGTTCATGCTGTGCTTCTTTTTTAGGAGTGCTACATTATGATTTTTCTGTCTCTATAACCCTTATACCATTGCATTGATGTGTACTTTTATGTTGGGTGTGTATACATTTTTAATGGCTCGTGTCATAAGAATCTACCATGACTTAATGTGTATGGGTATGTCAAGGGCTGGTGTTCAGTATGTAGTAGTAGTAGTACTTCTTTCTGAACTCCTTTTTTAATGGAATATTTCCTTTTCTTCCAGACGTTAGAAAGTATTGATGTGCACTGCTTCGGTCATTTACTGTATGAGATGACCTATGGAAGACCTCCTGATTCCATACCCGTGGACCAGTTCCCACCTGCACCGTCCATGTCCGTGGGTGAGTGTTCAATTAGGCAGTAATGTGGAATGAATGACTGCCTGTGTTAGGATCGGTTTTGTATAGACAACTTGTATGATATATTTGCAGCTTCTATTAAGGCATCTTTTCACTTTTTAATATTATTATTATTATTATTGAGATTTATATAGCGCCAACAGTTTGTGCAACTCTTTATAATATAAAGGAAGACAGTACAATTATAATACAATTCAAGACCAGATGGTTAGGAGGGGCCTGTCAGTGAGAGCTCACAACCTAAAAGGAAGGGACAAGTGATAGGCTGGGCACACACCTTACAACCATCGCAAGACTTTTGTCTTGCGATGGTTGTAAGGTAATTAAAAAAACGTACGATCTGCCTATCTCGGACAGGCAGATCGTGCTTGCTATGACCGCAAGCCCGCCCCTCTGAGGGGCGGGCTTCCGATGACCGCAATGCCGAACGGGCATTAAAAACTAGAACCTTTTTTATTGGTGCCTGTGTCGCTGTTGGGTAGATTTCATACCACTGTGTGTCACAATAACACGGTGGGGAGAAAGGAAGTCACCCTAATGGTGGCCATAGATGTATTGATAAGCAATTGATATGTATAAAATCTCTAAAATACATGCGGATTGTGTGCCAGAGACCAAAGTGTAACTTTCAATGCGTCACAAACGTAAAGACGGGTTTAATCAATTTGCAGCAAAAAAGATCAATGGCGGTTTATAAACTACATAATCTATAAATAGACCAATCGGAAGTTTAAAAAGGGTTGAAAACTGGACATTTTAATTGAGTTTAATTGAGTTTGAATGATTTGGGATGCAGCTGCCCTGATCGACCCATAGCAGTTGAAACTGGTACAGGTTTCGGTCAAAGATTGACCAATCGGCCATGTTTAGCAAATGATCGTGCGCCGATTAGATTGTTTCCTTCAAATCACACATTGATTGTTTCTTTTTATCAACACGTCTGTGGGCACCATAATGGTGAAAAATAAAAGTAAAAACCTGGAGGCTCTGACATTTCCTCATTTTACTATTAAATGCGCCTTGTGACACAGCAGGAAGTCAAGGGAAATAGGTCTATTGGAGATGCTATAAAAAGTTGACAAAGGTTCCGACCCCACTGTATATGAAATGGGAAAACATGGTCTGGAGTTCTGCTTTTAAGTTTTTAGATCCCGGTGACACACATTTTCCTTGCCGGAAAGAAGATTTAGCTCAAAGATAATTTTTGGCTACAGCGATATTGTGTAACTTCAGCTAATTAGGTCAGACTCGTAACATGCTTGTTCTTTCAGATTATTGCATAACAAACTTGTTCCCTTTTTATTTATTTATAGAAGCATTCACTATAAACGCTGCGGTGGCTGTGAAATAGGCAGACGTGTCAGTTTGTTCCAAGGCATGTGTGGAAACATCAGACAGGGCACTATGTGCAGTAGAAAGGGTCAACATAATGCAGTAGACAGGGCGTCAAAGCTGTGGTGGTGGTGGGGGGGCCTCTGCATCATCTGACAGCCAGGGATGTCACTGGTTGGCAGGAGCTGAGCGGGATGCCGGCCAAAAGAGTGCCCCTGTTGTATGGCCCTTACATATCTCTCCGCTGGGCTCTTAACAACCTGGGAAGCTCTGGCTATAAAGGGTGTAGCAGGCACATTGTGCAGCAGAGCCGCCATGCTGCTTTGCCTTTCGCACTCCCCATGTGACCGACCCAAGGAGATGTCAGGCTGCCTCATCATAGAGACCACCCTTGCCACCCTTGCAGTAGGTGCCAAATGGGACCTATAGCAACCAATTGTGTTTCACAATTGTGTTTTTTAGTGTTTAGGTCATAAAATGAAAGCTACCATTTAATTGTTATAAAAACAAGAATATCTAGAGTGGACATACATAATCCAGCCTCAGATCAGTGTGCAAAGGGTCAAATGTTAATCCAATGAGAACACAACAATCATTTTTTCCAGCTTACTGTAACAGTCTAGAAAAATCCCACTAGTATTCTAGAAGAAAAGCAACAGGCAGAGGTTGCATTCAGAGTGCAATACACATTTTTAAAAATAGGTGTCCAGGGGTGCTTGGGTTAAAACGTTTACTGCGAATCAGTGCGCTCGCTGCCTGTTGCTTTACTTCTCAATAAATTGTTTTGTATCTTTAAATTTTGACTCTCCACAACTGTTTGGTCAGCAGGATCTCCACATGTTACCTGCCATGGTGTAAAGCTCAATTCCAGTTTTGTACTCTACCGCCTTCCATTAGGCCCCCTCACATTTAAAAAAAAACCTGTACATGCATACCTTTCTTAGTTGGTCTTTGGCCAGGTCACAGTACATCATGGACCCTCTTGTTCCTCCATCATTAGGCAGTGCTTAATGCTGTAGATGATGGTACCAAGCAGTGACGGGAGTGCTGTTCTCTGCAGCATTCTTCTGGTAGCCCAGGGCGGTTTGATGTGTCGCATCGGTTTTAGCTGATGGAGTCCTTTTAGTTGAAAGTTGAAAGTTGCCATGACAAAGCGTTGAGGTGTGGTAATGATGTGATGAGTGTGCATGATTCCTTGGGCTCCTAGGAAGTGGGTCAAATGGTGCTAGCCTGGAAAAGAACCAGTACTGGAGTGCAGTTGTGTGGGGGACAGCACCAGAGGATATAAGTATTGCAGCCAGAGATGTTTTTTTTTTTTTAAAGAGCTGGGCAATGTATTTTTAAAATGAAAAAGAAACCTAGAAGTGGGCTTTAAGACAAAACCAGCTCTTATCCTCATCTTACTTGTTATGCTATCTTAGTTGCCCAGGTCATTAAAGCAAACCTAAAGTCTGCTACAATGATGTGACCTGTCTCGTCTACGACATTTCTATCTCCAGCTAGCCTTCTGCTGGGTTCGGTGTCTTCAGGAAACTTTATTGGCTAGTCCGGGATGACGTAACTCCCCACACATGCGCATGGGAGTTAAATCATCCCGGCACCAAAGGCATGCTGAGATTGTGCACTGTACAGTGAGCTGTGTATGCAGGGCTTAGTGTTCATGCTGAAGAAGCAGACAGGTAAAATGAAGAGCCTTCTGCAGTAAGAACCTGCTAACATGTAGACTATAGTTTACGCTTTAACATCTCTATGAACTAGAAATTACGTTTAGGGTACTGAAAACAATAACCATAGTTGTCTTACATAACAATGGGGATTTTTGCAAAGAGAGATAAAAATGACAACCACTGGGGTCTGGAAGAGCTGCTGTTTTTCATTAAGGAAGGAGAGGTAGTGTAGCTTTATTAAAGGTAGTAAACATTCTTTAAACATTTGAGCTCTGAGACTTCTGTATTGTGCTCCTCTATAAAATGGGTGTTTATTCATACATTATTTGTTGCTATTTACATTGCGAGTATAAAATGTCCACATTGTATTTCAGTGTCTGTTCTGGAGTCCATTCTGTCCTGCGAGACCTGTAAATCTGGCATGCCTTCCGTGTCCCAGCTCCTACAGATGCCGTGAGTCTCTCCATCCTTGTGTTCTCATTAATGACCTTAAAGTGTGTGTGTCAGCCTTAACATAAACCTCGTATTTCTTGTGCCCCTCACATCAGTTGTAATTCTTCTGAATGAAGCAAGGGCAAATCACACTTCCTTTCTGGTGATTCCAGACTATGCTAACCACGGAGGAAGATTTGTGGTAGCACAGTCAGGTTGCATCCCTTCTTTTTTCAGTAGGGCCTGTAGGATGCCCTGCTGACACACAACAGAGCTGTTTCTGAGCTCTATATTGTGCACAGCAAATTATCACATACCTGACTGGAGACTCAGATGAGAAGGGGGCTGCCAGTACACCTCTTGTCCCACACCTCTGGAAGTAGTGACAGGGGATGTAAGGTCAGAGCGGAGCACAGGTGCCGATACTGGTGGCTGGCTGGTTCTTGAGGAGGCGCTTGAGTGCGTTCGACCAGCTGGTGAATCGGGAGGACACCGGGACCTCTTGAAACCAGAGCAGGCAACGGGGTATAAGGGCCAACGGAGCACTGGTAGGATGTCATTGCTCAGGATGCTGATGGAGGGATCCACCAAGTGGCAGACCAGGAGGGAAGTCAGGTTAAGCCGAGGTCATACACAGGGAGCCAAACCTTGAGGTGCCGAATCACAAATCAGGAGCACGGTCAGGAAATGGAAGCCAGGGTCATACACGGGAGATCAGAGAGCAGAGGTACCGAATTAGGAGGAGGAAGCGAAGTCAATTGGTCACAAGCCGGGTTCACACACAGGAAGTCAGGATACAGGGGCAAGCTAAAGACCACTCAGCAACTTGGTTATGGCTTCATGTCTGTTTAAATAGGATAGTGTGCACGCTAATGAGCGTGCACCTGTGCGCTAACGAGCGCGTTTCTGCGTGCTCACGTACATGCGCTATTGTGCATAAACGTTCCAGTACGCGTGGGTTAACGTGCATTTTCCAGGAACTTTGGGCAATGGAATGCATGCTAGTTTGCGTGCACGTTTTTGAGCAAGAGTCCATCTGCAAGTAAGTCTCTGAAACAAACAATGGATGGGTGGAGGTTCTAAGCAGTGAGACATCCAACTGTTGTCATTGGCCTGCATGTCAGGTGGCTTTCCGTTTTCTCCTGACTAAATGGTAGATTATAAGAACGGTTTGTTAAATAAAATCAATTTACTTGATTGGACTCAGGCTGCATACTACTTCCATGACCAGCAAATGTGGAAACAGAATCCAGTTACCAAAGGGACCATTTATTGATCCATATATTTATTACCAAACAGAATCATTCATGAGACACTGATGAGTGCTGAAAAACCTCAATTTAAGGTAATAACAGCCTGAGATCTAAATGTTTGGAAGTTTGTGATTCTTTAATTTTTTTGTCATGGTCTGGATGTCTTTTTGTGGTGCATTTTGAAAAACACATGTAGGCAAACTACATATCTTTTACATTATCATGTGGATTAGGAGTTAAAGCAGAATTCCGGGCAGATTTTTTTTAACCCTTACAGTGGGGCTACCTCTGCAAGGGTTAACTACTCACGGTTTTCTAGGTTCAAAAATTCCATTTATGAAACGTATAACTTTTTTTTTTAGCACCTAGACAAAAACGAATATTTAACTCTTGCAGTACGGGGGTAGCCCCACTGCCAGGGTTAAGAACACTTTTGCCTGGAGTTCTTCCTTAAAGAGAGATGGAATCTCAACTGTCATTGTGGGACAAGTTGTAGTGAAATTGTATTGTTTTTCTCCAACGTTTGCTTCCATCTCGCTTTCTGCCAGCTGCCTAGTGAGATTTGTATCCATCAAAGGCTGGTGGGACCTGGTATTCCATGGGAAAGGCGTTTTTTTTTATTCCCTGATCAGGTCATTATATTGTAAGTGCAATTTTTTATTATTTTGTTCATTTTATTACCACTAGATAGAGCTGAAGATCATAGAAACAAATACTTATTTCCTATTTTCCTATGATCCTCGGCTCCATCTAGTGGCCATAATGCATAATTATAATGTTATACTAATAACATCTGTTTGTGCCTCTAGTCACACAAAACCAACGTACATGCAGGACTCATCGCTCTGCAAATTTTTAATAAATAGATCCTATATAGTATGTCTCTTGTGTAATTAAAAGCCTCCTTGTTTGCACATTTTTAATTCTTATGTAACATTTCACTTTAAGGGCTCTTTTATGCCAAGTGTGTTGACCTGAGACTCAATGCAAGGACACAGCAAGTACTATTGCTGTTTATGTGCCCGGTTTACACTAAAGCATTGCACTGCGGAATTGTAGAGATGCTGCATTATTTGCACAAAAAAACATTACAATGTAGATCAATGCATCACAACATGCTGCATAGAGCTGCAGCTAACGATTATTTTCAAAATCGATTAGTTAGTCGATTATTATGTTCGATTAATCGGTTAATCGGATAAACCATAAAATAGAGTTAAAAAAAAAAGGCTCCAGTGATGGGACTACTAGTTTGTATATTGAGGTTGTAGTCCATCACAGGAGCAAGCTTGGAGCAGTGGAAGTAAAAAAGAAAAAAGATAGTGTGGTGTGCAATATAGTGAAATGGAAAGTGTAAAATTATACAGCAATGGATGCTGAATACCACCAGCTATAGAGGAATACAACAAATCCCAGCAATAGTACATAATAGCTGGCGACATTCTGCATTGCGCTGTATAATGTACTATTGCTGGGTTTTGTAGTCCTCTATAAGCTGCAGCACATAGACGTTAAGAAAAAAGCAAGCATTGCAATGCGTTATAGCAATGCATTGCGGCACACATTCACACTATTACCCACACACACACATTATACACTCATTAACGCACTCTGTGTGGTGTGACTGTGCTCTAAATCTTTTGTGAAATGTTATTCCATCCCTGGCAAACAATTGCAGTCAGCTAAACTAGTTTATTATTGACCTCAGTTGACCGAGATTTTGTATTGTGTGTCCTGAATTTGTCAGTATGCACAGTGATTTCTGCTGGTTCATCTTCGTTTAAAAGAATGATTCAGGTTATACAATGTGGGCAGCACAGCGGCCTAGTGGTTAGCGCTTCTACCTTACAGCACTGAGGGCCCCTGGTTTGTATCCCGGTCAGGACACTATCTGCAAGGAGTTTGTATGTTCTCCCTGTGCTTGCGTAGGTGTCCTCCGGGTAATCTGGTTTCTTCCCACACTCCAAAGACATGCTGGAAGGTGAATTGGCTCCTGTCTAAATTGTACCTCGTATATATGCATGTGAAATAGGGGCTTTAGCTCCTTGAGGGCAGGGACTGATGTGAATGTTCTCTATGTAAAGTGCTGTGTAAATTGTCTGTGTTATTTAAATATATCAGAATTTAAAGCATGAGCGGGTTCCCGCAAGGTTTTTCCGCCACCTGCTGGCAGAAAGATGAAAGAACGTCCAAGACGGAAGAATTTGGTGGATGTAGCTAACATGCTGTTACTCTAAAGGTGTCTACAAACACTGATTGCAGCCCAGCCATGCATGCATCTCATTGGCTATGATCGTTGTACATATATACAAGTTTGTATATGCTAAACTTGCATGTTTGTGCCTATAGAGAGGGAAGGGAGAGCAGTGCAAGTACCAGCCTGTCACAAGGAAAATGATAGGCATCTTGGCTAATCAATTCTAACCCTCAGCAAACTCTGCCATCAAGCATCTTTCTCTCCCGGGCGGCTGGGAGAGTTGGGATGTGTACTCACCGGCCCAAGCTGCTCCATCGGGTAACGAAGGGAAGGGGGAGGAGTCCAGTGACGTCACGGACATCGACGTCACCGGACTCCTCTCCCTTCCCTTCGTTAGACGACTTGTGGAAGGGGGGAGGAGTCCGGTGACGTCGATGTCCGTGACGTCACCGGATCTCCGACGGAAGTCCCGGAAACCGGCGGAGAGGTGAGTACAGATCAAAAGAACTTTGATGGATTAAAATAATTTTGATTGATCAAAAAAATTAACGATTAATCGAGGGATTAATCGTTAATTTCCGCAGCCATTATATACATATATATATATAGGAAGGCCCTGCTCACAAGAAAAGGCAGGGTCAAGTGATAGAAAAGGTAATCACTGTTAGGGATGAGTCAGTGGAGAATGTAAAAGCTCAGTGTTTAGGCCGGGATCGGCTTCCCTAAAGGTTTCAAGGATCGCCCAAGGCAAACTTTGGCCCTCCAGCTTTGGTGCAACTACATATCCCATGAGGCATTGCATGACTCTGACACAGGCATGATTTCCAGAGGCAGGTGCATAGTGGGATTTGTAGTTTCACCGCAGCTGGAGGGCTGAAGTTTGCCTACCTCTGACCTAAAGACAGAGTAGCAGATAGCTGGATAGGTAGGGGTAGGGAGTTCCATAGGATGGGAGAGGCTCTAGAGTAGTCCTGGAGGTGAGGGAGCTAGAGAGCAGGAAGTCTTAGGAGAAGTGAGGACGACAGTTTCTGTGGTATTTTGAGACATGGTTGGGGATGCAGGTGGGGCAGAGCTGTGGACGGCTTTGTACGTTTTACAGATTTTGAATTGTAACCAGTCTTTATTTTTACAGATTCCTACCAAGTTAAAAGAAGCCCTCAAAACAGCCAAAGAATGTATAGAGAAGAGACTTGTAGAAGAGCAGAAATTGGTAATGTTCCTGAATTGTTATTGTATTTAGTATAGAGGTTGTGCTGATGTGGTCACGTATCACGTTCTCCTCCCTGTACTGTAGATGTACCAGCACAGACGACTGACTCGAGCACAGTCACATCACGGGTCAGAGGAAGAAAAGAAAAAGAGGAAAATTTTGGCAAGAAAAGTAAGTGAATGTGTAGGACAATATAAGTACAATAACTTTATTCTGTTCAATTGGATTTAAGATTTCCACTCTTGTTAGACTTAAATTTTATAACCTCTCTGTACAATTTCCCTTATTAGTAACTATGTATTATGTCCTGTGTAAACAATTCAGTCAACGTATAATTAATACCCAGCCAGGTAGGACCTCAGTCAGGGCAGTCCCCTTAATTAGGCAGCCTGAAGGTGGCCATACACTTTAAAACCATCGCAAGACCTTAGTCTTGCAATGGTTGTAAAGTAATAAAAAAAACGTACGATCTGCCCATCTTGGACAGGCAGATCGTACTCTCGATCATCGCAAGCCCGCCCCCCTGAGGGGCGGGCTTCCGATGACCGCAATGCTGAACGGGCAGTGTGCGCGTGCGCACACCGGCCCGTTCTGCATTTGTCTCCCGAGCACCCGAGCACCGTTCAAACCAGCTCGATTATCGTACGATCGCGGGATTTGCCGCGATTCTCGTACGAGAATCGAGCAGTGTATGGGCACCTTGAGACTGTTGCCTCAGGCGGCATCTCTTAGGTCACATGGGGAGAGCAGCAGGCGGAGCGGTATAGCCACTCTGTTGCACAATGTTTTCAGTGAACCTGCCGCCCCCTTTTCAGCCAGAGCATCCCAGGTTGCTAAGTGCCAGGCAGGGAGATGTGTAAGGCAACCTGGGACACTGTGGCTGGTGTCTTACTGAGCTGATGGCAGCCATTGACATCACTGGTTGCCAGGAGCTGGGCGGGACATGGGCCAGAACGGCGTAGTTACTCTCCACCAACACACCCACACTGAGCGCGTGCACCACCGGAACCATCCAACCTCCTCCCGACGGGACTCTGGCAAAAAGGAAGGATTGAGACACCCCTGATCACACTCCATAGTGAATATATTTTTGTAGGAAGGTTGTACAATCACATTGCAGTGTTTGTGGGCAGCTGTTGGCAAGTGTTATGCCTATACCATAGCGCTTCCTACACAGGCAATTGATTTTTTCCACCATTACAGATAAAAACCTTTAACTTTACATTTCCACTGTCATCTACTGAAGATTACCTGGCTTGTAGCCTCCTCTGATTGGCCATTTGTAGGGGACTAAGCAGTTCCTTTGCACTGGGATCTTTCAGGACCCATTCACAGCAGCAGGTATGCATAACACATACATGCTGTGATGCGTTGTTACATGCAGTTGGTTCTTTTCTTTTAAGTGACGCTTTATAAACTCTATGCAGAACTTTGTGTGCAACACATTTTTGTATGTTGTGCTGCCAAAAAAAAATGCAGCATTCCTACATTTTTCCCCTCACTAGTTTGGTGTGAACAAGACACATAAACAGCAGTTGTTTTTGCTGTGTCCTTGCACTGAGCCTGCGTGGATCATCTCATATCAGAGCAGCTCAACACAGCCATTGAAATATGTGCTCAGTCGGTGGTCCCTTCTTTATTTTACTCACATGTGCTAAAGCTGGTCCTACACTATGCAAATTTTGGCCGGTTCTTGATGAAATGATTGAAATTAGCACAGTGGGTGCTGCTTTCGGACGGCATGCCTCAGTCAGCTGATCAAAGGAGCTGGTTGGCCGGTTGAAATGTCACTTGTGTAAGCTGTTACAATACAGAATACAAGATTGTATGAAAATAGAACAAACATTGATCAGTGGGTTGGATGACGCTGGCCTTCAGTCTGGGGACATCTAGTGTCAGAGGACTGCAGGTGAAATCTCGAGACGGAAGCAGCAAAACCGATTTTATTTGATCCTTTAATCGGCTTTTGATTTGTATCTTATTTTTGGCTGGAGTCCAGCGTTAAGCTATTATTCCTCAGAAATGCCTCTCTGATTACGATTGATCATCCATAAACCATCTATCCCCCCTTTATTTCTCTAGAAGTCAAAGCGCACAAACTGCGATTCTGCAGAGGAGCAGTCGATAAAATGCAACAACTCAAATAATTCAGGTATGAAGCATCCTCCTTTTCCAACCGTATCATTGTCCCTTTAAAGTGAACCTGTGCCCAAACGATGTACGCTAAACTTTTTACGTATGCTGAACAAGCAATAAAAGAGCTCAGTCCTTATTCATCTCCGTACCTGTCGTCATTATGGAGAAATGTAAAGTGTGTGTTACCCCCAAAAACTAAGATTCACAATATGTCATGGGTTACTTGTATAGGTCTTAGCAAATGTAGTCTGTTGAATGTGTCTGGTGAATATGGTAACCAAATAATATTTTCTGTTTTACAATGTGCATTTGGTGTACTGCTTTATTTTTCAAGCTTCGGAAAACACATTTATTGAAATCTTTTTTTATGGAGAACAGATCTTGGCAGATGCCAGTCCTCTAATGTAGCCATGTTAGAAACTTACTGAATCTGCTCTCTAGTCTTTGTGGATCTTTGAGAATGAATACTTTCACATTACAAGCAGCTAGAGAGGTCAGGGACAATCCAGTTGTGAATCGTATAGCATTTACAATGGTATCCTACAGCCCAGGCTTCCTATTCATTCATTGGCTGTGAGGTGATTGCCATATTAGTGGAGATCCAAGCTATTAACAGGCAGTTCTTCCTGTTCCTAGATCCCGCCCCCCTGAGAACACCATCAATGTCACCATTAGTGATGCCCCCGGGTTCGATTGGACATTTGCTGAACCCAAATGTCCATGTGCACTGAACCTAGGACCCCCTAGCGCAGAGCATCATTGATTGTCGGGACGCTTGTGGCTGCGCAGTGCAGTATCATTGGTTGCTAGGATGCAGATGGGCACACCATGACAACCAGTGATGCTGTGTCCTAGTGACCAATAATGCTGTGTACCCCGGCTGCTAGAGTCCTAGCATCCAGTGATGCCATGCAGGGCACACAGTATCATTGGTTAATAGAATGTAGACGGGCACCCCATGACAACCAGTGATGCTGTGGAGCTGCTTGTGTCCTAGTAACCAATAATGTTGTGTACCCCTGCTGCTAGAGTCCTAGCAACCAGTGATGCTATGCAGGGCACACAATATCATTGGTTAATAGGATGTAGATGAGCACACCATGCCAACCAGTGATGCTGTGAAGCCACTTGTGTCCTAGGAACGAATAATGCTGTGTACCCCAGCTGCTAGGACACAGCCAGAGGCTTGGCGGGCAGGTGAACTGGCCAAATTGTTTTCCAGGTACTCGAACTGTGAACAGCTTGGGTACTAGAAACGATCATGAGTTCAACCCGAACCCACAACTCAATACCTAGTCACCAATACAATTAGACAATTAGAATTAAACAATTAGAATTAAAGTGGACATAAGCGGCAGTAAAAACTTGACAGGGGGTCTAAGCCTTTAATAATAAAAATAGTTGATTTCATCGCAATGACTTCTCATTGTTTATCATCAGGCTCTGGAACGAGTTCTCCTCTCACCTCACCGTCATCTCCTACCCCACCTTCTACAACAGGTCAGTAATATGCACTCTCCTCTTCTCCTCAATCCTTTTATGTTCCATGTCAATTGGAAAGTCGCTACGACTTCGCCTTCCTCATAAAGTGTCTGAATGGAGAACTCTGCTTTATGTGCTTGGAAACAGCACAAACTTAGGGAGATTTTGATTGGTCAATATAAAGAACACGTTATTTTTTCAGAGACATTCATAGATGAGGCTCTTTGTGATTGTGTACATTTGAAGCGAGTCATAGCAAGCAGCGGTTTTAGAAAAGGCTGCATAGACACTACCTGCAGTAGAGGCGGTTACCTCTGTCTGGTGCAGGGGTAGGCAACTCCGGCCATCCAGTTGTGGAACTACAAGTCCCATGAGGCATTGCAAGACTGACCGTTACAGGCATGACACACAGAGGCAAGTTGGATTTGTAGTTAAAGTACACCTGGAGGGCCCTAGTCTGGTGGGTCGCACTCAGCATGGTAAACGTTGGCTTTGAAGCAGGGTAAGATGTCGCTGATCTAATCTGATCATATCTCCGAGTGCATGATAGTCACATTGTGTTCTCTAAATGCTGCGTGCACCATAGTGCAGGGCTATGCTGGATAAAGGGGAATCAGTGTATGTAACTAGCTGAGATCAGAGTAGACATCGCAGAGAAAAAAATGCTATTTGATGAGTCAATTTAAAGTGGAATTTCAAGCAACTGATTACAGTTCTAAATTACCCAGTTAAAATATTTGTAGTTCTGCACAATCAGCTTTGTGATTTAAACACGTCTGCCACACAGTCGGGAAGATCACTCTACTACGTCTTGGTTCAGCATAACTGTTTCCTAGATCCTCTCTGCTAATTGAACAGAAGTGATGATGCTCATTAATGGCCCAGGAGGAGAGGCTGAAACAGGAAATATGTGGCGCCTGCCTGGCTGCGCAGTGTGACGGAGGTTTATCAATCACCAGGCTGGCTGTACAGAATTACAAATCCTTTTGCAGGTATAACAGAACATATATGACTCTGTATGTAGCTGTTTGCGTGGCTTATACTTAAAACCCGACATCACAGAACACAGAGGAATTCACCAAGTGCACAACACAGTCCCTAAATGCTCGGGACCTGTTAGGCCACAATTGCACCTACTGTATGTGCTTTGAATTTCTGTCGGTTACTGCTCTGTGCCGTACTGCAGTGATTTGTCCTCGAGGTGTACCGAAAAGTGTTCCTTAAAGAAGAACTCCGATCTAACCAAAAAAATATTTTCGATGCCGAGTATGTTTATCATTTTTAACCTCTTGCCGTCCGCCCGTAGTAAAAAAACGGACGGACGGCACTGCAGCATCTGCGGGTTGCCGTCTCCAGACGGCAATTTTTTTCTGCTCGCGCGCGCCCCCTAGCGGGCACGCACGGGCAGAAAAGACCCGTCCAATGCGAACACCCGGTACCGGGTGTTTCACATATAGGCGATCAGCGGGTCCATAGCCTGCCGATCGCCTATATGTGCTCGTTTGCGTCCGCCCCCTGACCCCTCACCTTGAATCCCGGGATCCGCTGCCCCATCTGCGGCCCGGGATCGGCTCGGAGGGCGTCAGGAGGAGGAGGACGGGAGATCAGCTCCTTGCTGATCCCCGTCCGGGCTGTGAATGCAGAAGTGATGTGTATTACATCACTTCCGCATTCACCTGTCAGTCATCTGGAGAGAGAAGAAGCTGATAAAGCAGATCTCTGCTTTATCAGCTTCTTTTGGGGTCCATAGGTGATATTAGGGGTCCTAGAGACCCCTAATATCTCCATAAAGAGGACCTGTCAGTGTGCCTTTGCTATTATATAGGGGGTTGTTATCCCCCTATATAATAGCAATAACAATAAGTGCAAAAAAAAAAATATAAATAAAAAAAAAGAAAAGTAACACATAAAAAAATAAAATAAAATAAAAGCCACATATAAAAAAAGGGGAAAAAACCCCCCCAAAATGTTTAACTCCCCCACCCCCACGTTTACGCGCCTATAAACGTAAATACGCGTCCGGTGCCCCAGCGCGCAAAAATTACAATTGCGCTACACATGTTACATATCGCCGCGAACGTCGCAGTGAGAGCAATCATTTTAGGGCCATCAATCACTGATAACACTAAACTGATGAGCGGTAACAGCTTTTAAAGCGTCGCCTAGGGCCAATTTTGGGTATTATCGTTTTTTGAGGTTTCGCGCGCGCACGCAATTTTAAGGCTTGACATGTTTAGTGTCTTTTTACCCGACGTGACCCCATCTTTTATATTTTACCAAAAAATTGGGTAATAATAAATGTTTTATCATTTAATATAGGGGAAACTGTTTTTTTTTTTTAAATTTCGGTAATTTTTCCTTAATATAGTAAAAAAATAAAACCCCCAGTGGTGAATAAATACCACCAAAAGAAAGCTCTATCTGTCCCCAAAAAAGGGTATAAAATTCATTTCAGTACAGCGCTGCATGACGGAATAAATGTCAGTTAAAGTACCGCAGCGCTGAATACTGAAAAATGGCCTGGATGGGAAGGGGGTTTAACACCGCGGATGTCAACTGGTTAATTACCACATGACTGGTATGGAACAGGAATTGAAAACCCACATAGACAGTTAGGGGTCTATTTATGAACAATGCCTCTGTGAATATTCCTTTTGTGTGAATAGATGGACAAAACAAACGTTCTTGTTGTTATATTTTCTCGAATGTACTTTCAAAAGTTTTCTTATAATACCCCTTTATGGCCACTAGATGGAGCCGAGGAGCATAGGAAATAATTCTATATAGAAGTGGTTATTCTCCTCATCGCCATCTAGCGGCCATAATGCGGTGTTACAAGATAACATTCGACTTGTACAGAAAATATAAATGTAATTTTGTGCATCCATTTACGCAGAACAAACATTTACAGACATTTGCAAGGTCAACGGCTCTGCAAGTTGTTTATAAATAGACCTCTTAGTGTTTTTTAATGGACAAGCTGGTCTTTTTTTTTTTTCCCCGAAACAGCATATTGAATGTATAATCTATAGCAAGCTTAGATGCAGATAGTGCTTTGCGGAGTTCTTCCTTAATGATATACTTGGCATGAACTGACCTGTTGATGATTTGTACGTTTGTTTTCCCAGAACCCCAGTGAGGTAAGTGCCTTCCTTTTTAAACTACTGACGCATTTGTCCTCTGTGCAGCCGAGCCATCTTGGTCCGCTTTTACCCTGAAACATCCATCCGCTGCTACTGCCTACTCAGCTCACTGCCCGCTGCTGTCATATACGCTGTGTGCTCGGACATTGTACTCCTTGATCATTTTGTATTGGAACATTCTGCTCTTGTCATGTATGGGTACCCATGCTTCTCCATATAATGCTGAGTGTGCTATGTGCTTTTACAATAAAGCTTAGCTCCATCTTTTCTGTCTGGTCAGCATACATGTTAGCCATGAATGTCGGTGGCTAAGCTCAGATGAAATGTGTGACCCTTGGAGCAAGATGGCAGGCGGTTCCCATTGTTACATGGGATTGCATGACTAATCATCAGAAGCTGTATTCTGTTTACATATGTCATCATCATCAGTAATGGTATAGATCTCTGACATTGTTGTCTCCTTGCCAAATGAATGTTGTGGCTTCAATCACTGGCACCATATTGGCTATTTGATGGAGTGGACTACGCTTTACAGTAACTATTGCCTTTGTGTCAGTGAAGGTGGATTAATGCACTTCATATATTCAGAAATAATCATCCCAATGTAAACTTTATTTCCATATGGCATAAAAACTGTACACAAAAGATTGATGACACATTTCAGACTGAGGTGCAACCTGGCGGTGTTGGATGGACCGAGACATAATGTCCCAGAGGTGTTCTATTGGATTCAGGTTGGGCAATTCAATGGTATCAATTCCTTCATCCTCAAGGAACTGGCTGCATACTCTCGCCACATGAGGCCGGGCTTTGTCGTGCGTCAGGAGGAACCCAGGACCCACTGCACAAGCGTAGGGTCTGACAATGGGTCCAAGGATTTCATCCCGATACCTAATGGCAGTCAGGGTGCCATTGTCTAGCCTGTAAAGGTCTATGCGTCCCTCCATGGATATGCCTCCGCAGCCCATCACTGACCCACCACCAAAGCGATCATGCTGAACGATGTTACAGGCAGCATAATGTTCTCCAAGGCTTCTCCAGACCTTTTCACGTCTGTCACATGTGCTCAGGGTGAACCTGCTCTCATCTGTGAAAAGCACAGGGCGCCAGTAGCGGACCTGCCAATTCGGGTGTTCGATGGCAAATGCCAATCAACCTCCACGGTGCCGGGCAGTGAGCACAGGGCCCACTAGAGGACGTCAGGCCCTCAGGCCACCCTCATGAAGTCTGTTTCTGATTGTTGGGTCAGAGACATTCACACCAGTGGCCTGCTGGAGGTGATTTTGTAGGGCTCTGGCAGTGCTCATTCTGTTCCTCCTTGCACAAAGGAGCAGATCCCGATCCTGCCGATGGGTTAAGCACGTTCTACGGCCCTCTCCAGCTCTCCTAGAGTAACTACCTGTGTCCTGGAATCTCCTCCATGCTCTTGAGACTGTGCTGGGAGACACAGCAAACCTAGGCACGTATTGGTGTGCAATGCTGGAGGAGTTGGCATGCCTGTGCAACCTCTATGGGGTCCAGGTATTGCCTCATGCTTCCAGTAGTGACACTGACTCTAGCCAAATGCATACTAGTGAAAAAAACAGTCAGAAAAGATTAGTAGGGAACAAAAGGTCAGTGGCCTCCACCTGTAAAACCATTCCTGTTTTGGAGGTTGTCTCATTGTTGCCCATCTAGTGCACCTGAAACTGATTAACAACCCCCTCTGCTACTTAACAGACCTGATCAATATCCCAGGAGTTTCATTGACTTGATGCTATACTCTGATTAAAAAGTGTTCCTTTAATTTTTTTGAGCAGTGTATATATGTGTGTGTATGTATGTGTGTATAATATATATATATATGTGTGGTGTATGTATGTATATATATGTGTG